CTCACTTATATGCAAAAATATCAAGTAAAATTTCTATTAAATCACCTTTGGATGCTTCTGAAAAATACTTCAAGTGATCAGAAGGACTTCAAACTTCTAGGGTTCATTAAGTAGGGTCTTTTTATCAAACAAAACAAACCGCAAGTGGATATCAGGCTCAGAGATGGAATTATGAATTTTTTCTCACTTAGATGCAGAAAAATAGTTTAAAATTTCTATTGAATCACCTTTGGAAACTTCTGAAAAATACTTCAAGCAACCAAAGGAACTTCAAACTCTTAGGATTTATCGAGTAAGGTCTTTTTATCGAACAAAACAAACCGAGAGTGGAAATGGAAAAATGAATTTTTTCTCACTTAGATGCAAAAATATCATGTAAAATTTCCATTAAATCACCTCTGGAAGTTTCTGAAAAATACTTAAAGCAATCAGAGGGACTTCAAACCTTCAGGATTTATTGAGAAGGGGCCTTTTATTGAACAAAACAAACCGGCGCGAGTACAAAAATCAGGGTTTGTGACGATGACAAAATATAAAGGTTGTTCCATTGGAAATAAGGAAATAAATTTAATTTCAAAAAATTGCAGGTCTGTAAAATAAAATTTCATAAAATTTTAGGATTCGGCAATAGTGTGAAAAAAAAAAACTTTAAAAAATTCTCATTCTCCCAGAATAAACCACATATCGTTATCTTTTCTTGTTTTAGAGATACATTTACCTGCAAAATGTGTCAGTTTATCCAAGAACACCCTGTATAAAAGCACCTAAATAGTTGAGCAAAAATGTGTCAAATCGACATACCAACTACACTTTGCAAATATTCCTCGTCTACTTCTTGAATAGTATCAGTAGAATCAGAACGTCGTAGGTCCCTTCTGCTCCTTGAAATCCTTCTGAAGAAGGAAGCCATTATGCCAAACATAAGCTCAAATAACCACTTTTATTTAACACTGCACTTCATAGCACTTAAAACAAAAATAATATTTAATCCATTTCAAAGTTTGTCATTTTAGGTGGCACCTTTGCCTTCGCACTGTTTTTCACACTACCGCCTACCGCAGCATCTAATAGCAACAATCCTCACACCTTAATTATTTCTCGAGTTCGAAGTTACCTGCTTGGCGATATAATTCCTTATCTTATCGGAAATTATTGCTTATAACGCTGAGAACAACATCGTTAAATGTACTACTTGACTTTATTGTTTTAAAATGGTTTTCGAACATTCTATAGACCAAGCATAACCAGATTATAAAAGCATAAATGCTGATTAGATAAAAATAATATACCTTTCCATACAAAATCAAACTATTTTTTTTTCTGAACAAATATTTACTTAATAATTTAGAATTTATCTCATTGTGACAATTTTATCGAACTATTATTTTTACCGGCAAAGTATACATTATTGCACTAGGGAACAAACTAACCTTCCACAGTCAAGAAATAAAACATAAACCTAAATCATATAGATGCTATAAATAAATACATAAATTGATTTAAGAAACCTTTAAGGTGATTTCCTACAAAAGAACGCGAACTTTCACATACTTATGGTTTACTTACCAATTAATGGCGTATTAGAAAAAAAATAATAATTTTGCAAGAACTAGCGTGTGAAAACATCTTGCTCATGAAAAATACAAAATAAAAACATTGCATACCATTGAAAAACGATCCAGCTTTAAAAACTTTCAAAGCAACAAAGAATGACCAGTACTGGATCTTGAAACTTTCGTTGGACCCTCGAATACAGATTTCCGAAATGCCTTCAGTGTATCAGAACTACACACGCACTGAACCAAAAATTGAATTTTCTTTTATCCAATTCCGAGGACACTGGACCAAAAGTTTCCAGACAAAAACTTCAACAATTTGATCTTCACCGACACCGACAGGCGACGGGAAAATAAAAAGTTGCTGGAAATACCAAAAAAACAAAGTAGTTGCCGGAATTTTTTTATTTTTTTCATTTTAAAAATGTATTGTATTTTTTTTTTGTTGGTTTCGTATGGACCCGGCCTAAGGAGCCCGCGACATTCGAGTAGTCATAAATCATGAATTAAATTGAGAAAGTATTTCGTCCGGAACTACGCGGAGTGACGTCACACGCTTTGATGCCCTTATCGACTCTTTCAAAAAGACGAAACTTTAAAAATTTATAAAAAATTGATGGCTTCATATTTGGCATGCGTTATTTTTTAGACAATAGCCATTTCATGTCCTTTGTTTAAATGGTGGTGAATTTCGTGGGATAGAGTTTTTCAAAAGGTTTAATATAAACCGAAACGTTGCCACACATCTTGTTGAGGGGTTCGTGGATTTTGAATGAAAATCATTTCGCAAACTCCTGGTGAATGGTTTGATGAATCTTGATTGAACGGAATGGATAATTTGATGGATTACTTTTTAAGCTTTCTGAAGATAATTGAAAATGCGTGTGACGATTGAAAATATATTATGACAACTACTTGTTTATGCAACAACTTTCTCTTGTCTAATGACAAAAATCAAACTATGCTATCACGGACGTAGCAACAGGGCGCGCAAGTGGTGCCACGCAAAAGGGCCCGGGCCCCGGAGGGGCCCCGCGAGTCCTGCCGCTTTTTGAACACAAAACACAACATAAAAGAAAATATTTTTTTTTCAACCGACACAGAAAACTGTAATAACCCAGTTTTTTGTATGTCCCAGTCCCAGTACTCATATCAATGTCAATCTCAATCCTGGCAGTCCATTAGTCATGAGTGAATCCCCTGTGGGATTTTGTCCCGGCCTAGGCTGAAAAAGAGATACTTTCTCAAGTAAAACGCGTCCGGAGAGTATGTACTTTCAGAACCGTTGCCGAAAAAATTCATTTTAGGTACAGTCTGACAACCGAATAAACTTTGGCAACGTATGAAGTGGCAGAGGGGAAAACGAAAACTACCCAATCAGAAAATTGCGGTTACGGGTCCCCAATAGACGACTCGCGTATACATTATTCTGGCGCGAATCAGGAGGGTTTTGCCCGCATTCCTTCCACACAGGTTCATTCAGTTGTCACACTTTACCTACTTGTTACAAAAATAGCTATTGTCTGTTAACCCTCAAAAAATTTCTCGCGTCGGAATATAAACCTCAGACTCAGAAAAATTACAGAGTCCAAGTATCAGGTGATCCACTTTACCAAAGGCTTTGGAGCATCCGTCTATAATACATTTGAACCTTCCAATGGCCATGGTGAAGGGGGCCTGCTGTAGACTTGCACCAGGGCTGGAATTCTGTAACAAATAGCGATATTTTCGCTATCTCTATTGACGTCCCTTCTCTATTGATTCCGAAAAGAGAGAAGAAGACAGCAAGTGTCATAGCAATATCGATAACGATCTCTATCCGTTACAGAATTCCGCCTCAGGGCCCGTATTGGATTTGCTACGTCCCTGTATGCTATGTTAATAAACATTAAATTAAAATATAGGAACAATATTGTTTGGGGCATCAAAAACTGCACACATCTGAGTTTTTTTTGTCCTGTCCTCTAACTCACGAAATTCACCACCACTTATTTTTCAGTTTCTTAGGCCAGTTTTTAAAATTCAAAACTAAATAGAAAGCCAAAAAAAAAAACAATTTAAAAATATCGAAGTTTTGCGCTTATTATTGTCAATTTAATGCAAGAGTTAATATGGACAGCCGAAACAAAGCTTGGACTGCTTTTATTGCACTGGACCAAATAAAGAGCAACTGGGTTTTATTTCAGTTTAAATTTTTTTTGAAAAACTTATTGCTTATCTACCTATAAGATTTAAATTAGTCTTACCTTGCTTGTAACTGGAAAATTCGCCTGCACTATGACTATGGGTTAACATCCAAGTATTTCGATCCAGTATATATGACTTTAGATTCACACCTCAAAATCACGATCTTATTTGAATTCTAATTAATTTTATAATTGGTGTCCCGAAAATAGAGCATGTATTTGTGAATATTTTTTCAGTAAACAAAATACATACTTTTTAGATGCTGGCGCGTTTCTCAAATTTGATTTTTATTTTTACTTTTTTAGCAGCTACAAATAGTGGCAGGTATAGGTCTCAAAGGCCTCATTTCAGTTAATTTATATTACAGAATTTTTTATGTTGGTATTGTAAATTGTAGGCTTCTAATTTGGCAACAACACAAGTTAAAATTTTCCCAAATTATTAATTAAACTAAATAATGAATATAAAAATATTTCAATTCATTTAATATTAGCTCAAAAGCCGAAAATGGGTAGTAAACAAAGGTGTTTCTGTAAAATGTATAGATACAACAAAGCAAAGTGTTTCACTTTCAAGCATCAATTAACCAGGCAAAGACATTTACAAAAGAGAAATTAAAGCAATCCGATTAATTTGTTTGCCGCCGACGCCGTCTGGAAAATTTTATATTTTTAGGTGAGGTTATATTTACCCTCCAGAGATTTATCCAAAAATACAGAAACGCTGCCCGCTTGGCGCACACTGTCTGCATCAACAGGGATGGGCGGACTGAAAAATCCCGAAAGAAATAAGACAAACTAGCAGAGGGTAGGTAGGTGCTCCAGACAGACTGATGATGCTGATGTCTGGATTCATTAAATTCCACTAGAATGCGCCTTTCTCCACTAGAATACAGGGCGCGCTGTTTTAATTTAAGAGGCTCTTATCTAGTCATCATCATTTCTGACTGAAAAGATGAAAGCATTGTTTGTTTTATGAGAAATTCGCTACTTTTGAATAGTACACCTATTTGACTTTGGCTAATCAGAAAATAAAAATAAATGCTCATTCCGTTTTCCGACGACCTAATAATATAAACCTATTGTTTCCCATTCCTTTTTAGAAAAATTGCACTTACCAATGTCGCCATTTGTCTTGCTATCATCTAAGATCACACCAGTAGTTCCTGTATTTGTGGCTTCTGGTATAAGGGTAGAATCTGCTAATGTTGAAATAAATGTTTTTCACTAACGTATTCATTGAAAAAATATTGTTTATTTATTTCAAAAGCTTTATTCGAAAGTTATAATAAAAAAACAATAGGACACTTCACTTAAACCAATTATTAATAACTTTTGAAAACTTAGATAAGTCTCGACCACTTAGTTTTCTTGAAATAAGCCATAAAATTTCAAGTGGCAAATTAGCTAGACAAGGTAATGGAACACCATTTTGTTGTAGGATAGCGCATTTAATTGGAAATGCAATACCATCTTTAATTTTGAAGGATAGAACATCTAAGTTTTGAAGCATGAGGTTTCGGATCAGTGAAGTTCTCCATGACACAAAGTAAGTGCGTGGATCCAAAATTAACTCATATGCCAAATTGCCCAATTTTAATCCTTTAACAAAACAGGTTACAATCAAATCATCAGAATGGGATATCAAAATCAATTTTATTTCGAATTGTTCCAAATCGCACAATTTGAACTTCAAAGTGCAGGCGATCCCATCTGATGACCAACGTATGCGCGGATTTTTGCTTATTGTCATCATTCTGTTATAGTGAAAATCATATGATTTGTCAGGGCCATTATAATCAATTGGTACAAAGCCAGACTCCGCCATAATTAGAAAAATTAGTCCCGCCAGAGTGTCAAGTCCTGGCACTTCATGGGCATGATTTTCTAAACATGTCAATAAATTTTGAAGACTTTCTGGACAAGCGTCAGGCTTGTATTCTTCCAATAAATATGTCCTCAGAACTAAAAATAAAGGATCTTCTCAGTAACTGTTTAATATAATTTTTAAACAGAGTTAACCAAATAAATATCTTTTCAATCTACAAAGAAGTAAACTGGACAATTTAAACCTACTATCTAGCCAAAACAAAAAATATAAGCATCACTTTCAGTCTTTCACTGCCTTTCAGTATATCCAGTCAAAAATGAACAATTTAACTGGTATATAAAATAAAATGAAAATTTGATGAAAACCTTGTCCCAACTGCAGACTTTGCTCCAGTTATTTGCTAAATATTTTGATCCAACTAATATAGGTAAACACAAAGGCCGACAAAACAAAAGTTAAAGATAGTCTGGGCCTTAAAATGCACAATAAGTACCATAGAATAATGTGTTTAGAGGGACATTAAATGAAAAGTTTGCCGATGTCAAGCTTCACAATTCTTAGCTCAGAAATAGTGCAATAAAATAGTATTTCTAGTAGGAAACTTTTGGAATAGTTTTGATTTTTTCCATTCCGTATGTTTTTTGGGCTGCTGAATCCGAATCTAGGGTTTGCTAACAACATTTCGTAACGTTACATCGAAAAAAATTACAAAAAAAAATTTAGTTTTGGCAATCTTTTGCTTATAACTCGCAAGCTATCAATTTTTCGGAAAAAATACTCTACTCAAAATGAAAAAAGTGTGATAGAATTTACCTGCGCCTTCGCCACGGTATCCAGAATACATGCCAAAATTCTAGAAAGGCTGCCTTTTTCGGGCAAATACGATTCGCGTTTATCCTGGATTCTACACGGAAAGATTGGGGATATATAAAGGCCGGTATTAGTTAGTAGTTTTTAAGTTTAAGTTTGACTGTGATATGATCTAGATAGTGATTATTGTTGAGAGTTGTAAAGAGTTTAGTTGTTTGAGTTAGTTATTGAAGTAATTAGTGTCAGAGTGTACAGTAACGTGGAATAAATTATTGTTGTGTTAATTGGACTTTGATTTTGGAATAAACGGACCCAAGATTTTTGTCACACACCCCAGAGCCGTGACAGTAGCTACATAAAATTTCCCTTAAATTTCAATGTTTATATTTTTTCCTCTGACAAACTGTATGGGCTCAATCGATAGTTGAAAAGTGGCGTGTTATCTATTTCCACAAGAAAACACTTTTCATCTGCAAAACTCTAATTTATTATCAAATTACATTATCTTCATCACTTTATATATTAAATTATCACATTGTTTGAGCCGTTTTCTCTTAGAAGGTCCTAGCTGAGGCTCCTCGATGGCGGAAGGTCCTGGCAGAGGATTGGGTTCTTCCATAAACATTGGAGATTAAGAGAAATTGTGAAAAACACTTGTGATTTTGCGATTAGACATACCTACCACATCGTGTGAGCGTTCTTCTTTAGAGAGTTTTTGGTCTCTTTCTTGAGCTGCTTCTTTGTCTATCTCAACGATGTCGTCCGGAAACTTGACGGTTTCACACAACCCGTTGCATGTTGTGCATATTGCAGAGCAATAAAGTCACCCTACCCTGCACCCACAATTGCAGTGGCAGCATTTCTTGCATTTACACGATATGCGCTGATGTATGGAGTCCGATGCTGGTTTGGAACAGGCACAGAACCTTTTTTTTTGTTCTTCCCCCCCTCATTCAGGTCTCTTTATTGTTCATTGAATATAGTTTGTCCAGATAACCACTGCTACACATGAAAGTAAACTCTCTGTGAATTTTCTCATGCAGCAGCTTCAGTGGAAGGTAGTGCGGCAATGTTGGGTTTGCTTTTGTAAGATGATGATATATAAAAAAAATCAACTCAATAACTGGTTCAAAATTTTCTGGTCCAACAGGAATATTTCCTGGTTCATTCTCAATATTTTATGTTGCCGGTTGCCGCTGCTAGAGATTTCTTCAGAAAAGACATTTTTATAATCTTATCATTAGCTGGTTGGTTGTTTTCTGTTGAGGCCAAAACAGTGACTGGCAAATCTCAAATCGTTTAAAATACTCCTTGGCGTGTCCCATACAAAGCTATGATAAACGATAGAAACATGTCGCCAGCTTGGGCAATCTCGTCCTGGTGATCTCGAGGGTCTTTAAAGGCCTCAATTACTGGCATCAGATCAATGTTTTTGTGCAGAACTTTGAGAAATTTCAATTTCCACTGATTAAATAGAGCGGAAGTGGCGTCACAACCATCCACTCACAATGTGGAGGAATAATATATGGTCTGATAGGGTTTTATCTGATAGGTGAGAATCATAGATGGTGTGAGACACTTCTGGTTTGCACGGCTTCATGGAAAAGAATTTTTTCATAGCACATCTCTTCTCTTCTTACTTGACACAATAAACATATTCAAACTTTTTTCCCACACACGATCGAGGGCATTTTCAACAGGAGGAATTTACTAAATGAGCTCTTAATGCTAAATTAGACTTTTAGAGTGAAAAAGGTGGGTTTTACGAGAGACAAATAAAATACGACAAATTTTGACTAACGCTCGAGCCCAAACGGTCCATCCTACGAAAAAAATTAACAGATGTAATTCATAGAAAATTTTATGTACTTTCATGTTGGATACAGATGTTTTTTCCAAAAAATTGATAGTTTTCGAGTTCTACGCAAATTTTGTTAGCACCTCGAGAAACAGAAAAGAAACTTTCTCGCGAGAGGCTTTTATGAGCACAAATTTTCTTGTATTAGAAAAGCTTATAAACCAAAACCTACTCGATAAAGCTTATTTAAACCTAAATATGCCTGCAAAATACTTGTGATTGCCGGTCCATCCGAAAACACGATTTCACTGAAATTACGATAATTCGAATTGGGGAGTAAAAAGAAATACTAATATGATTTTTCAAAAATATTAGAATTGCAATGGAATGGAATTGTCCCAAAATTTGTCTGGATTTCTGTAGAGGCTCCAGCTATGCGAGTGATTTTGAGAATTTTGATAAAAGCAAGGATAAAAGTATATCAGTGAGAAAATGCCGAATTTTATATTCTCAGTCTCGATTCATATACACTGCTTTTTTTGTTATTCAAAACTTTGCATTGCAGATTCTTGATAGAAAATACCACTTATATCAGTGGCACTTTGGATTCGAAAAATATTGCAGCATCAGATGCCCAGTATCTAGCAAGAAAAAAGTTCTTATGTCAAACCATAATTCAGCATGACATTGAATGATTAAAATCAACCAATGAATTACATATAAACAAAAGTACAAATAAGACCAAACTTTTAATTTAATATCTGAATGTTCCAAAAGCTGGGCTGTGCTCAAAATAATTCAAAGTACTTTATGTAGTTTCCTTCTTGTAGACATTCAGTCTTGAAAATGTAGTTTTTTATCAGCAGTAAGCATGGTAATAACAAAGGGGTAAACCGCTGGGAATTATGGTTACTAGGAATTATTGGTAAATATGTAGGAATTGTTCAAATTATTGTGAGAATGAGAATTGCCAAGAAATTATTGAAAATACGAAGGAATTGTGGGAATTATTGAGGAATTATTAGGAATTGTGAAAATTGTTGGGCATTATTATATATATGTCGCAGGCTTATTGTGAAATCAGTCTTATTATAATACGCCTAGGCTTTTTTAATACGACTAGGCGTATTGCACTACTACCCAAATAATTAGGAATCACACAATTTGACTGATAATTTTAGGCTTATTATAATATGCCTGCCGCTCGCTAGTCTTATTGTTAAAATGAACCTGCAAGCGATTATTTTCCAATCTGACTAAATAAAATTCGTTGTATTATAATACGACTGACAGTGTGTCAGTCGAATAATAATAATAATTATTGTTGAAAAATTAAGAACTCTTGATATTGCAATTGAAGTTCCTAAATTAAGTAGATAGAGGAGTGGACCACTGGACCCCAAAAATATATTAGGAACTGTAGTGAGTAGTGAGTAGTAAGTATTATGAATGAGGTTTATGAAATTGGTACCATACACGGCTTTTTCAATCGATGGTTTTTAAGAGAAGAAATCACTGACTGCCAAAGTAATTGTCATAACAATAAATGTTTATGTTTTAAAGCTCATATGAAATGTAGTAGCAAATGCCATGAAAGCGGATCATGCTCTAATAAATAATTCAAATCTATAAATTGTATTTTATATAGGTAATTTAAGCTCTTCAAAATTTATGTTAAAGTACTGGGTGTTCACAGATACATGTTGCGCTGAAGGCTAGCTTTCCTATTAGTTATGCTACAGAGATGAAATTTGAAAAAAATACTTAAACCTTGGTAATTTTAATGTCTATTTAGCATAAAGAATAAGAAAGTTAGTGTTCAGCACAATATATCGGCCAAAAGGCGCATTGAAAGTTTTATCCAATACAATTCGCCTGGTGCGCCATTAGTCGTATTATAATACGACGGATTTCATCTAGACGGATTCTAACGCAGGTTCATTTTGATAATAAGACTAACACGCATCAGGCGTATTATAATGCGACTGAAATTACTAGTCTTATTGTGAAATTCTTGAGTATTTGGGTAGTATTACAAAATGCCTAGTCGTATTGAAAAAGCCTAGGCGTATTATAATAAGACTGATTTTACATTAAGCCTGCGACATATATACTACGTCGGACCAATAGCGTGCAAGTTTTAAACCATTGAGGTTATGATTGAAAGAAAAGGACTATTTGAGTGGTTTTAGCGTGAGTATCAAACGAAAACAAAAATTTAAAAGTAATAAGTCTTTATGTTCCAAAAGGCATTAGGAGTCTGCAAAATATGTTTAGATTGAAATTTTCTATTGGGATGTTAATGTTTAAAACATCAGCTTCAAAAAGAACTAGTTTCTCATTAAAAATGATATTAGCAAACTGGAATATGCTGGAAAAAGCATTAGTTAGTTTTTAAATTTTTAGGATAGTTCCTTTAGATTTTTGGTTTCACCCTTTCGAGCCCATACTCTACACTGCAGCCTTTATAGGCTTTTTGTATGTCATTCGTATGGGCTCTACTCCTTCTCATTCATACTTGCAGATCGGATGATTGGCGGCAGCGCGGGCGGGCTACCGTCCCGTACTACTGCGGTCACCCATCCAATCTGCAACCCGACAACGCGTTGCTTGGCTTTGAGTAGGGCGTCCTGTCGTCCTTTATCAAAGCGCCAACGTGCCGGTGGATGGATAGTTCCTTTCCCTGAATAAAACAAAGTTGGGACAACAGAACAGAAACTCTCCAAGTATTTTTGCCTTCTCAGCCCTACTCTTATAGTTCCAATAAAATTTAATTTCTAAGTAAGGCAGAAAACGAGATTCATAAGAATACAGGATAGTAGCAGAGGCCCAATTCTTGAGAAATAACGCATAAGAAATTTGATATGATTTCGAACGCTTCCCATTTTATTTACATTGCTGTCAGTTCGTATGCGATATTTTTCGAGAATTGAGACCCATTTCTCTGCTTGTCATTTGTATTTTGTACTTTCATTTGTGTTTTTAGCCTAACCCTTCAAAATTCAAATTTTATAGCATGTAATATCGTTTAGCTACGCTCTATGTTTCCAATTCATACCTCTCTATGACGACTCTCCTAAATGATCAATCGGAACTATTATTTATGAGTATAAATATGACTATTTTCAATTTTGATTGGTATCACTGGGAATTACTAGGAATTAGGTACTAAGAAATTATTGGAATTGGGAGGAATTTATGGGAATTGTCACGAATTGTTGGGAATTATTAGGTTTTGCTAGGTAATTGTTAGGCATTGCTGGGGAATTGCGGGAATCAGGTGGAAATTCAAAGTTATTCCCCTATTAGGCATTGTGGTGTACAAAAACTGGATCAGCGGTTTACCCATTGGTAATAACCAAGTATGTACTTATACAGAATGCTTCTTAATAAGAAACGTGATGGTTATTGGGTGGGTTGTAACTGTGGCTTAGGTCAAAACGCGAGTGAGTTATATAAGTGAGTTTCACTGTAGATAAGTGAGTGAAACCCCTGATGAAACTGATATCATGAAGAGCAACAAGAATAATTGAGTAGGGCAAAATATTTGTTTTGAAACTGACAGTTGATTTTATTCATTGTATTGAATGCCAAATTTTAATTAACAGTAAGTGAAAAATTGTTAACATTCAACAAAGAACCCAAAATAGATAAACAAAAAATGGGAAATTTGAAAAGAATTCATGTGTTTTTTTTGCAGAATTTCTAAGTGATCTCGAAGTGCTTGGAAAGATCGAGGATTTGAGTACATAAGATCTTGATACAACAAAAAGTTTGACGACAAAGCAAAATAAGTGCCCCCCAGAGTTTATAAAAAGCAGATAATTATTTTCCAGACCAAATGACATTTTTGTCATAGAAGTGAACATTTTTTTTTTGTAGACCCTGCCATAGAAAAAAAAAACAGGCCCAAGGAAATTATAATTTGCTGTGTACTGGTGAATTGTTTTCAATCATACAACTAAAATTAGGAATTTGTTTGGTATCCTAATCTTCATCTTAAGTATCATTTGTTTGTTACCGTTTCAACTGTTCAGGGGATTATTCAAAAATCAAATTTAAAGCTTGTATTACATCTGTGTATTTCTCTGTGAATTTCTTTATGTAATTCAGGGTTACAACCGAAAAACTTCAAACGCAACATAAATCAGAGTTATGACAAACAAAATAATTTCGGTACCCTGAACTACATGAAGAAATACAAGGAAAAATACACACGTTAAACGGGCTTAATATTGCATATTGTAAATTTTGATTTTAAATGAAAAAAAAAACTATTATCGGGGTCTATGTTCTTCTCTATATCAGTAGCATTAAACCATACTTATTTTCAAATTCACTCGGCAAATAAACAACCTGTTGATCCTCCGACAACAAACCCAAAATTGAATTGCTTTTAGAATCCATACTGAATTTAAAGGTAATTTTGATTGAGGTTGATACATATGTGTAGAATTCAAGGTAGAATTCCTTAATAACATTTGAAAGTAATGTAGAAATTGAAGATTAGGACAAAAAGTTACTTGTAAATGAAACCTTCAGCCCAACATCTGGGACAAATCCCATCGATAAATTACGTGAAATAAATGAAAGTAAATTTACAAACAATCAAATAAACAATCTATGGGATAAATATTGAAAGAACGCAAATAATAACAGAAATCAACGGTAGTAATTACAGAATATTCATCATCAGTGCTCAGTGGTCTATTAAAAAGCAACAGGCAGCAGCTCATATAAACAGACAATTTAGGTTATGGGAGCTTACCATTTTCAGTCTTATCCGAGGATTTTGTTTTCAGATCATATCCAGAGGATTGCGGAATATCAGTATCACTAATTACCATCTTGCTATTATTATTTTCCGCCATATTTTATTGTTTTAGTAACAACAAAATTAAATAATTAGCAAAATTTATCGTTCATTTCATCTGTCATTTGAATTGAATTTTTTTTTTGTGGTGGGGGTGTTTTGGAGCGATTCGGATCCAATTACTGACAGCTGACTTCGAAATCTTGCTAACCAACACAACCGAATTCGCCTTTTACTCAAAAGTTCTTTTCACGTGGCTCCGGTTTAACTAACCGGGTTACAAACACTGATCTAAACAATAAATGGATAAACAATCGTATGGCTCGATTGGCTAAATTTGTGCGAAAATTTGGGGTCAATATTCTATGAACAGTTGTGCAACGGAACAGCCTAACGCCTGCGCAGTGTCTTATCTTTCGAACAACTGTTCTAAATTTTGAAATTCCTTCGTTTTCATTGGCCAGATTTGTGCACGCACAGTACATGTATCTACTGCGCACGCTTACAGCTGTCCCAGTCAGTTGTTTTTGTTTACATTAGTTGTATTCCTTTCACACTTAGGAGGAGCTCCGGAACAGCTCCGGGGCTTCACGAGCTTATTCCTTTCGAAAAGTGTTTGTTGCACCACGCATATGTTCCCTGCAAATCGGGGGCGACTAAGCACCGAAGCGAGTAGCTCGAGTGTTTCAAGCTCTTGAAAGGAATACAACTACTATGACCTCGTAAATTAGCAGCATTAGAAGCGTTCTTTGTTTATCCATTTATTTTTGAGATCAGTGGTTACAAAACGATTAGAGAAATGACATACCGTTTTCTAACCCGGTTACAAAGTGACATGATGGATACCTACCACTCGAATTTGAGCGGTTAGTTGCGGTTTGTTAAACCGGAGCAACGTGAAAAGGGTTAAAGTGTCGGTTGAATAAAATTTTACCAATTATGCCTTTGCTTGGATTTTCTTTGTATTCCTTGAATTTGAATTTAAAATCCTTCTTTCTTCGGGAAAAAAACCACGGGACCGGTAGGCGGTAGACCTACCCCGACTAATCAAATTAGTGTTGCCGAAAGGTGCTTTCCAGTGACCCATTTGAGTTACTCCTGAGCAGCTCAGGAGTGCTCCACAATTACTTTGCGCGTTCCAGTGCTTAGAGTGTCGTACACTTGAACTACTCATTTCTGTTATCCCCTGCCCCCTCGTGCACCAACCTTTATTTCGCTGTTTCATGCTCCTGAAGTCCGAAGTGGTGAGGGTTAACACGGGAGCGTTCCAGTGCTGCTTGTGTGGAACAGTTCAAGTGAGTCACACTCCAGGAGCATGATACTCTGACAATTTAGGCACTGGAAAGCAGCTGAAATCACCTGGAAAAGTTCGACTTCTTCCCTGAATTTGGCGAATGAATATGGATAAATTATTGCAGTCGACGAGATAGTGAGCAGTAAGAAAGAAGCGGATTTAATCATTTCCGGAGAAATCACCAATTTTTTGATGAACTCTTTTGTCATATAGCGCTTTCGACTTCTCTAAACTGCACCCGATTGATCAAAAAGCGATCCGGAACGGATGCATGTTCGGGTTATAGCAGAGCGTTGCTCTCGGCAAAATTCACGTGTTCAACTTGAGCAATAGAACGCTCTCAAATCTCACACGGAACGCTCTTTCTAACTCTGTCAAATTCGAGGGATCAAAAAGTTTGATCAAAACAATAATAAATCGGCTATTGATTTCCCCAGGGTGTAACCTCGTTTGGATTATAATGGAGAGAACTGTGACGTCACCGCCCAGACAGGTAACGCTCTGGGAGCAGTAAAGCTGAAAATGGCATAAGAAAATAGCGGATTTCATCTTTTCCAGAAGGATCGCCCATCTTCCGTTGAACTGTTTTGTCAAAAGATCGCTCCGGAGCGGAAAAATCTTTTCGAAAACTATCGACAATCAAAAATGAAACTATCAATAAGGGCGCTTTCTGTTATTCAGCGGTGGATCCATCGGTAATCAGCCTTTCTTTGTCTAGCTCATAGAAAATTGGAATGTCTGTTTCATAATGCTGGCAGCTGGCAGCAGATGGATCCATTGCTGAATAAAAGAATGCGCCCTAATAGTTGTATTCCTGTCAAGAGTTCAGAGCCTTAGAGCTACTCGCTCCGGTTTTATTCGACCCTGATTTGGAAGGAAAAGGTGCGCCGTTTTTCGTGCATTTAAATGGTTTGATTCGGGCTTGAGGGCCGGTTTCTCAATAGCGAGTCATCCCCAAGTTAAGCCTAGTACTCATAACTGCGAAATTCGTACTTTTTTCACATTTCTTCGACAAATTGACGTTTTATGCATGAATCAAACGTCAAGTTGTCGAAGCAAGTCAAAAAAGTGCGAATTTCGCAGTTATGAGTACTAGGCTTTAAGCATAACTCCGGGGTAAAGTAGGGTAAACATAGCAACTGGACACGCTTACCCTGGAGTTAAAACTATCCCGGGAGGTGACTCGTTATTAATAATAACTGTATTCCTTTTATACATCGAGTTACACCGAATGTGTCGCTCTAGAACTTCTCAGAGCCACTCCTAAACACACGATTCAGATATTATCATTATTCTTTTATATAATATAGGTCTGTTTCTGCAGAAATCACAAACCAGTCAGAGTGAATTCCATTGGTTGAAACTAGTTTGCTGACTGTTTCTGATTGTTTTCATCCAATGAAATTCGCTCTGACTGGTTTGTGATTTCTGCAGAAACAGACCTAATATTACCTAAAAGGTCTTCTTGCACCCACCGCAAATTTGGTGCATCAGGGGTAAGGGGGATGCACTATGAGCGACTCGCGTGCTTAACGCACTTTTAAAAGGAACGTTCAAACTTTTGACATTGAGCCACTCCGAGTAACTCAACGGGTAAAAGGAATACTGGGGCGCGTTCAGATTGAAGAGTCCGGACGACGTCCAGTGAAGAACGCACCCGATAGAGAGCGCACTCCGAGTGTGCCCGGCAATTCGCCCAATCTGAACGGCCAAGACCACAGCCAAGACGCAATTCTCTCTTCATAACCTCACTTATGGGATGCTTTGATTCAACATTAAAGCTTGATTTATAAACTCTCAGTCACCGTTCGTTGTCACCGTTCCCGTTCGTTGTCACCGTTCGTGTCGTTTCTAAGCATTTATAAACTCTAAACCGTTACACAACACAAACAAAAACACATCCTAACCCAATATATTTATCTTGAATCACATGACCAAAATTGTCTAATTTGATTGGCTACTGCACGAACGACGAACGGTCGAGTTAAAAGTTAACCAAGGTGGAACGGTGCCGTTCGCGAGGAAAACGACGAACGGGAACGGCAACGGTGGATATAAATGCTTACTTAATTTCCTATATTTGAAGTTGGAACGGGAACGGGAACAACGAACGGTGACGGGAACGGTGGAGTTTATAAATCACACTTCAACCTTGGCTTTAATTTTGATTTTCTTGCCCTTTCAAATTTCACTGTTTGTGATTTTAACATTTTTGCCGTTTTCTTCATAATTTTTTAAATAAATAGTAACTATGGAAGAAGCCATAGTATCTTCATCTTCCTTCATATTTAAAGAGTTATTGAATGATGAGGACGCTTCATCTTCGGACGACGAGGATGTGCTAGTGTCAGTGATTGCTATCAATTTAGCCTCACAAACTAAACAAAAAAAAAGAAAGAGGCCACCTTTTTTTAAATAGAGTTGATGAGGATGACGAAGAATTTGGATAAACCCACCATAACTCGCCAAAATAATTATTTACAATATTTGCCTTTATTATTTAAGGTTAGAACACAAATGCGCATGCGGGGCAAATTTTATCTTGCTATTTTATGGGATGCAAAAGTGTTCGTCCGGGCGTCGTCCGGTAAAAATCTACTGACAATCTGAACGGCTGGGTAAATTTTACCCAAAACAATCTGAACGGTCAGAGCGCGCTCGGGCGACACACGACGTCCAATCTGAACGCAGCCCAGTAATTGAGAAAACGACCCTGAGTGAGGCCACAAACACTTTTCAAAAGGAATAAGCGCGTAACGCCCCGGAGCTGTTTCGGAGCTCCTCCTAGGTGTGAGAGGAATACAACTAATAATCGATGGTGACCACTATGGAGATTCTCGAACTCTATCATGCCCAAGGATCTTGCATACTACACAAGATAGCCTATCCCTATCCTTATAAAGCCTGTGTGGGTCAATTCTTGAGCACCTCATCACGCCAAAGTACCAGTGATGACGTAACAGCGTGTCGTTTCTCGCCTTGACGTAGGATTGCAAGGATAATACACTATTACTACAGGATAGCCCATCCGCATAATGCCTTTTAGTTCAAATCTCAGTAATTGTTTTCATTTCACACCTAGGAGGTGCTCCGGAATAGCTCTTGGGCTTCACGCGCTTATTCCTTTCGAAAAGTGTTTGTTGCACCACGCTTCTCTTCCTTTCAAAGTTCATTGTTCCAAATCGGGGTCGACTTACACCGGAGCGAGTAGCTCGAGTCGAGTGTTTCAAACTCTTGAAAGGAATACAACTAGTGATAACGTAGACAGCGTCTCGTTTCTCGCCTTGACGTAAGGTGTTTGCACCACAGGTTATGATTCCGCGGCCTTTTGCTTTATGCATGCATTAAGGCCGAAACCCACTAGCAACACGCCCCGCACCATCAAATTCTGGGATACTCGAAGATCTAGAACACTTAATTTCTTCTGTGAAAACAGTCCGATAGTCACCTTTCCTACATTTAAAATCGACGAAAAAATTAACTCACTATAGCACAGTCTGAATCGCAAGAATTTCTTCGAGGTCTATGGGTGTCACTCAGGAATGTTCCAAGGTGCACAATAGGGTACTTGCATGAAAAATTAAATTGAATATTGTTTATTGCAAACTGTAGGAAATCGAAAAAAAATCGATGCATGTTTTTCTATTTTGTTCAAATATAATTATTTCGGAAGTTATAACAAATATTGAGTTTTATATATATAGATATACTGAGCATGTGCGACGTCACAACTCACCACGTATTATAGCTAAGTTATGACGTCGGAAGGACATTTCAAAGCGTTGTATCTCTGTCAATTTTTGACTAACAAGAAAAAGAAAAAATACGTGTTGACCTATTTTTCATGGACTATCGAAATCAGCAATAAAAAAATTTGATGCAAGGAGCCTATTGTGCA